TGTGAATAGAAGCGATAAAGGCGCTATTCATTCGTCAAGAGGGGATAAATCTCTCTTCGGCCTATCTTCCATCTCAGAGATTACATACCCAACTAATGATAGGCCGTCAACTTTATCCAGTAGCAGCCATAGGACAAAGAAAAATCCCTTGACTGGTAAATCTCTTACGAATCCAATAGCTCCTCGGACGATGGACGGCTGGCCGACCTCCCACGAAGCAGCTTACATCCACAGAAAGACGCATTGCGAACCTAATCTCCCAAATAAAAGTAATATACAGATGTCGTGGTATTAGCCTTGATGCATAAATTATTTGGATTAGGCGTGGGCCTGATCATACCGTAGTAAAGAATGATAATGGTCTCTTTCTTCCTTTAACGGTCTCTATGTGTAATATTCGTGCTGAATAAATTGTCTTTTCATTTATTTTGAGTGACTTGAGGGTGACTTCAATAACCGGTATGAACCGGCTACTCGCTTTCTTCGACCCAACCAACTTTGCAAGACACCTCAAACTCGAACTGCACAACAATACGAGATATACTTGACTTGATTTCATATATTTGGCTATTCGTCTACAGCTAGAAAATGTCGCAACCAAAAGGCACATCTAAATCTTCGAATTCGGACGGCCTCAAGCTCACCGTTCCAACTGTAACTTATGCGCAAACTCTTCGGCGACTTCAAGTTATACAGAATCACCTCTCTTTACCCCGACAAGGACGCCTCAAGGACAAAGTCTGCATCATCACCGGCGTGGGATCCCTGAAAGGAATCGGGTAAGTGGAGAAGCAGTCCAAATATTGTTGCGTGATTGATCGTAAAACCAACACAGTCGTGCTACAGCTCTCCTATTTGCGCATCAAGGTAAGAACTTATATAGAGGTGCGGAGAACGGACCGAACTGACGGAAGGTTGTAGGAGCAAAGGCGCTTTACTTGCTTGATTTCGACGGAACCAACCTCCCTAATTTAAAAGAGACGATTGAAAAGTCTTACCCAGATGTCCATGTCAGTACCGCGTCATCCTCGCAGAAACCCACACCCACAACATTCTAGGTCGCTGTCATCGAAGGAGATGCTGCGGACGACGCTACCATTTCGAATTTGGTTTCCAGGGCATTATCAGAGCAAGGAAGATTGGACGTGTTCTTTGCCAATGTAAGCCTGGAACCAAGTCGGCTTAGGCCACATGGGAGCTATAACGAGACTCACGCCCTCTTCTTGTTGTGTACACACAGGCCGGAGTTGCTTCCGGTAAACCGTCGATCACAGCAATTTCAGATGACGAATGGGACCAAATGATGCACATCAACACGACCTCTTGCTTCCTTGCAGTCAAGTATGCCGCCCCTGCGATGATGAAGACGAGCTTGGAAGGCGGAACTCCGAAAGAGGACTCGAATGGTAGTATCCTCCTGACTGCATCCGTAGCGGGCTTGAGGTCTGGAGCCGGGCCAATTCATTGTAAGTCCTCCCGCTTCTGACCGGTATTGCGAGGTTATCTCACTGATTGATCCTGCTCTCCATGTGCCTTTTGTGATACGCTACTGCACCCTTGCAATGTATACTCGGGGTTCAAATGGGTGGCGTGCTTGGCGGTCCAATAGATAGTGCCAGTAAAGCGGCGTGAGTATCTTGTTTACCTCTCCACATTGCGGTTAAAGTCAAAAATGGGAAGGTGGTGAACGTGATTTCATCGATTTCATGCCCAATCCCTACGCTCTTCCTACCTTCCCCATTCGACTGCAGGACTGACGGTACCTTTAACCAGTGTGAACAGTATTGCCCAAACGGCTTCGTGGAATCTCCTGCGTTCTAATATTCGGGTCAACAGCATCTGTCCAGGCCTCATCGAGGTGAGTCTTGACTCGTGTTAGCTCTCCTTCTAGGCACCACACGCTTGACGGGACCAGCTGTCCTTCGGCGCTTTCCGAAATGGATTCTCCATCGGAGAAATGCTAGCTTAACCTTCTTTTTCGTGACAATAGCCGCCTTTCCGGGACGGACCGTCGCGCCTGAGGGTTCCCGCGCGCAAGCTTCGGCGTCGGAGATATAACAGCCAATTATTCGGCCTTCCGATGCAAATGGGTATAGAGGCGTTCTCTTACAAAAAGAATATCAATTTGGCATGTGTTGTGGTACATCTTCCCCCCGCCCACTCATTTCACTACATATGCCATCGCGTCCAAACCACGCGAGTTGGGGGCAGCAGGGCAAAATCGGTGTTGGACAAACTACTAGGTTTCTCCTCCATTTCCTTTTGTTTTAATCCGAGGCGTTTCATCTTGATGACTGCTCGTCCGAATGATCCTTGTTGAAATTGGACTTTGGCCGCCCTCGCGCGACCGCCGCGAATCATCCCTGGATTCGCTTTTGGCAAACCTAAGCATGAGCGTCTTTTGTGTGGGAAGATGTTATGATTTCTCTTCTTTTCTGGGAAGTTGGACTGCAAGAAAAAAAGAAGAGTATACTAATGCGAGAACTGTTTGTGCTATAGACAGGAATGACTGTACAAATGTTCGATATGGCTCGACAGCGGAAGACCGCTGATCGGATTGGACAGCTTAATCCGATGGGAAGGTACGGAGTTGCAGAAGGTGCGTTCTGTTGCTGCACATCTTTGTTTCTCCATTTTGTCGTCGTCGTCGGCAACGTCGACCTGCCAGAGAAAATACTGTGCGGGAAACTCGCTCACTCGCATGTTCGAGGACGCCTGGCGCTTTAGGTGCTTGTTTTTTTTGATCCTACGTCGCCGCGAGTGTTTAGCTGCGTCGCCTCTCCGGTTACTTAGTAACCGGCAGCCTTGGGAGATTTAGCCCTGTTCGCAAAAGCTTATTCACG